TTTTTTTTAGTTTTATAAACATTTTGAATATTACAATAAATAATGAAATTTGGAACAATCATGAAATACAAATCAATTTATAGAATTAAGATTATATAAAAAAGGAAAGAAGAAAAAAAAATCACATCAAAGGTGCTGCTTCGTTCCCTCCTGTTCATAAAAGAGGACATATGCCTCATTGCTCACAAGTGATTTTGGCGAAATTGGGAACATGTGTGAATCGTTGTATTCATGCCACGTGCCACTATATGGGTTTCTGCAATATGCTGTGTAATGTCCGTTGTAAGTAGTCCCACTGTGATTTGGAAGTGCATATAGATTATAACGACAAGGAGCCACATTGTCTGCTGCATAACTGCTCATATCTAATCCATCTGAAGAAAAGTCAATAGAAACATTCAATTTGCCTCTGAACCTTTCCGTAGGAGAGAATCTTTTCAAATGAATTACTACGGGGAAACTTATAGATTGATAAGGACTTTGTACATTTTCTCCTTTGCTTGCACCTCGAACACATTGGTTTTTCATCTCCATCCAGAGTTTTCTCTCTTGTGAAAGAATCCAAGCAATGTGACAAACTCACTTGGCCAGTTCTTTATAGTATGGGAAGGGACAAATCCCAGAAAGGATCAAAGGTTACTGATGAGTGTCCGCAGTGTGTGCACTTAATAGTGGATTTTAATTGACCAACGAAATAGTCTAAAATCTTGGAGTTGTTCATATTCAAATATCTCTGCCAGGACTCTTGTGCCTTACCGTTATCGCTCAATTTTTCGTCAATCTCAGTTAAGATCGGTTCAGGTTTCTGAGTAATTTTGTTGAGGTCCTCATGTAAATCTTCTAAAAGATATCGAAGGAATTCGTGGGCGTCTTGATGGGCAGAACCCATGTATCGAGGGACAAATCTTTGAATCTGATTTTTGAAGTATGAATCTTCTGACCATAATTCCTTGATAACTTTTTGATTAAAACACCTTTCATACTAGAAATACTAGTATAGATATATTCCACGTATGTATCCTTTTTTAGGTATTCCAGCAACCATCCCGTATTTGATAAACATTGGATTATACTGTTCATGAAACAGGTGTTTCCATGATTTTTTTAACCATTAAACCCAAGAGTTTTGATTGAAGAATGTATCACCGATCTATTGTTGCAACTACGTTTGCCACTACTATCTTCTTTTGAGTAAACACGGATAGGATGATTCACCCCTTCATTGGACTGGTAGGATAAGGAATTCGAAGCAAAACTGCTTAGAACTGAATTAGATATTAGTTCTTCTGGGGACTGTGAGGGCTCAGCCAGAAGACCGAACTCAGCCTCATTTAGAGTTGCCACTTCCTTTTCTGTCAAAGCTTGACGGTTTTGTCTTCCGCCAAACTGCACAACTCCAGTTCTTGTACTGTCTGTACATGCCGATATATTTTGTTCATGGGAAACATTGATAATTCACCTGGGGCTTTTGATTGAGGAATTGTACCTTAACATAAAGCTGCATTTTCTCTTTGAATCAGAATGCTAATTTTTTGAATCAAGAAAGAGGTAGCTCTTGGGTCATTCGTTTCTTTGGATATCCTAATGCCGATTTCACGAATGAACTCCAATGCTTGGGGGCCTGAGGTACCAAATGTTTCGATTCCTATTGCATGAAAAATGAAATTATCTCCCAAATAATTGTATTTCCGTGTTTTTGACAATTCCGCTGATGAAGCTGCTGCACCGCTGGATACAGAAGTCGAAGGAACGTGACAAGGAGCCAAAGTATCGACGCATGTGAAATCCCAGTCAACCGGTTTTCCTTTCGCCAAGGAATGATAGTCATGCCATCTGGTAGTTTCCCATCATCGCTGCAAGTGCCTGGGGGTTCTAAGATGGAAGGTATATTTGCCGAACCTAAGGCACGTTTGATGACATCATTTACAGCTTGATGACGGGAAAAGCGCCCGGCGCTATATCTACAACTCAGTCCATGATATCCTCGGGTGTCTACTTCCACTCCACACTTGCATTTGTGTTGAACAGAAATATTGGAACCTAGTCGAAGGCCTACAGCAACTCCAAAAGATTCATTGTCAAATAATGTACCAAGGGATGAAACTGGTAAGGTATCCAACCAAGCACCTGCATGTTTTGACGACACTGCTTTTATACGTGCCTTATCTATAAGATATTTAGCCAAGTCTAACAAATTATTTGAGGCATTTCTTACAAGAGGAATGTCCCAGGTTTGTTGAAGATTTTTTCTGGTTCTTGGTACTTCTAGATTAGTTCGTGAGATCCATAGTTGTTTGGCCTCGCTCAAATTGTTATCCGATGGAAAGGAGGGTGGTAAAATTGAATCTATCATATTGATCACACTATAACTCGAAGAGAGGAAGGTAGGTAGTGAAAGATCAGTGATTGTACGAATGCCTGAATCTCCTTAAGATACAGGATGAGTAGCCTGATGCCATGCATTGCTCTCCAATTGATCAACCAATAAAAGTCGAAGAGTGTTACGAATTTCTTTATCAAACTTAATCAGATAAGTATGGTGATGCCAGGTTGGAAAACATCTCATGAGATAGAGGAGCTTTGGAATATTCAAACAGTTTCTGAGAAGAGAGAAAGCTACCTGTCTTGGAAGAGCATGAGAAGACATAATTCTGAAATTATGTAATTTTTCCTCAAAAAAAGTGATGAATGATTCTTCTGTGAGAGGGGAACCAAGAAGAATTAAACTATTTCTTTCAATAATTTTGATTCCAGGAGCAACGTCATTGAATTTTCTCGAAATATTCAAATCAGGTTCACTTAGAAAATGAAGTTCATATAATATATGGAAGTTTAGTTCAAGCCCAATTTCCTTTGACTTTTTAATAACAGACTAAAGGGCATTGAGAACTTCCTTATGGTCAGTCTTCCTCCAGAGAACCGTCATCTAAATACCAAGCATTGAACTCTGTTTTTGAATTTTTGATGATATTGTTTATAGACAGGCAAAAGAGAGCAGGTGCTAATGGATTCCCTTGCTGTACTCCACGCTCTGATGATATTGTGTTTTGATCAAATGTCAGTATTGAAACCTGGTAGTAGCATTGAAATACAAAAGGATATGACTCTGGAACACTATTTTGAACCGATTTCAACATAAAGTCCCGATTAATCATATTGAAAGCATTCTTATAATCCAATTTGAAAAAAAAACTTTTCCGTCCTTGGACTCGTGTTCATTAATATATACGGCTTCACAACCACTTGGAGATCCAAAACCATATTGAAATGGACGAAAAATATTTCCTTCAGTTTGAATGAAGCCAGTTTTGCAACTAAACGGCGGAACACATTGCCGACGGCAATCGGTCTAATTCCACCATCTTTCTTTTTCAAAGCACCAAATAAAATGGGACAAATTTATTCGTTCACAGTACCTGATAGCAAAACATTACAAAGGGCTGTTAGCGATGATAACAGCAGAACCAGCACTATAACTTATCAAGTCCTGCAGATGAGATGGCCTCAAAGAATCCAAACCTCCAGAGGAACTTGTACGAAAAGAAGATGACCGTTTTATTTCACTATTATTTCATTTCAGGTTTATTTTGGTTAATATAATTGTTATGTTCACCTATTCATTTTCAGTTCTTCTTTTTTATTTGTTTCAGGGATTTCAAATCATTTTATATAGTAGACAATGGAAGTCCGAACTAGTGAAATTAGTACGAAAGACATAATTGCTTGACGAACTTCATTCTCATTCACTACTAAAGAACTAGTTGAAAAAGAATTAGTTTGGTAACAAATTCCAGTTTTTGACTGAGGATGCTTGGACTGGATTCACGAAAGGTTTCCGTACTAAAATTTGCCAGTTTGTCATCAGAACATACAATTTTCACAGCTTCTGAAAGATCTCCATCTGATACTTTATTGATCACCATCTTGAGGTAAATTTTCGCTATGTGGACACCCGGCGATTTTGAAAAAATTTTTGACTGTACTTACGTATTTTGATGCGTAGATTACGAATCCGAAAGAAAAAAAGCGGCGCTCTCCCTTATTTTGAAAAAGAAGGCTGAAAAGTTGCCCTTTTCTGAACTTTGAAGGGCTGTAACTTTTTAAATAAGGGAGAGCGCCGCTTTTTTCTTTCGGATTCGTAATCTACGCATCAAAATACGTAAGTACAGTCAAAAATTTTTTCAAAATCGCCGGGTGTCCAGATAACGAAAATTTACCTTGTAACCAAATGAAAGAAGTTTCTCCCAGGATTCGATGGAATTGTATTTGATACATTCATCGATGGTATTCGAGAGGACAGAAGCAGAAAGAAATCTGGCAGCTCTCGGTATCCTTTTAGAAATGATAGAATTACGTTTCAAAGCAGACGTACTCTTGTGGAAAGGTATGCGAGCATTTTCGTTCTTTGAGACATCGATGGTTCCGGTAACAGGAATATTGGTATTATTTATTGAATTTTGATGAAAAAACTTTTTTCATTTCGTAACTTTGAGGGCCCGTAAATTGGTAACGAAGGATTTTGAGAACAAAAGTACTGGTGATACTTTGACCCATATATAAATTCCTGAGAAGAAAAGAGGAAGTCCAGGGACACTCTGTATATCTCATACACTCTGGAAAACAGTAAAATAATTATCTGAATCAGATGTTCATTTTCAATTTCTTAAAATTTTGTCTGGTAAGTCAACTGATTTGGATTAACTGTTAGCACCAGGAAACCCGGTACTGAACTAATTCAAATTATTTGCACTGAATTTCGTTCTGAATGTTCATAATTATTTAATTAATTCGAAAATGAATTATTGGTCCTGTATATACGTTAGGTACAAAAAAGATGTCCTCGCAAAAACTAGTGACTATTATAGACATTCAGAACCTATTCATTGTAAGTATCTTTGCAGCAACAAAAAAATTTCCAAAATTTTCGCAAATGTCCAATCAATCGTCGATTTGATAAAACGAATGAGTCATTGAATTCAAGGCTGATATTTCATACTTACAGAAGCAGAACCTGCTGTCACAAGTCCATTTTCCTTGAAAATTGTTGGTAGTTTCCCGAGTCCTTCCATTGTTGTCCACGGCCTAGGATGCTCATCAATTTCGAAATTCATTGTTTCCTTTTTCTCTTTGACTGGTACAGGTTCTATCTCATCTTTGAATTTCCCCTCTTCTTGAGCTGAAATAGGTGATGAGAAATAGATTATAGTCATATGAAAATATATTTTTTCAAACATGAAATCTTCAACTACGTTCCGATAAAAAAAAGAAAAAATATTACTTCTATGGGTGGGTTAATAATTATTATCAAGTCGTACTTATTCAAGTTCAATAACTTCATTACCGGTGTGAACTTAGCAGCTGAAAGGTAGCAGCCATAATTCCGAAAACACGACGTACGTCGCATAATTATTAGGGAGAAATAAACATTAAAGAGGTGAAAAATGATTAGAAACTCTATTATTATCGCTGAAAGAACACCTCAGGTAACTCGCTCAAATGTGCCTACTAAAAAAGCAGATTAAAAAAAAGTATAAATAGTGGGCGAGTACATTTGTAAGAAATTATCAATCACTGAAAACATTTATTGTTATGAGACGTAGTAGATGAGACCAGCAGTTAGAAGGGCTCGAATAGTGAAATAATTGAAGGAGGTCGCATCGAGACATACATTTAAAAAGTGATCAGAACTCCTAGAAGGAAAACTCCTGTCAGCGTAATTTCACGTTAGAATAATCGAATTCGATCATAATATGAAAACACAAGATGAGACCGACTATCGAAGGGGGTCAAATGGGGATAAAATTCAATACTGAATCGAAAGTCATAAAAGAAAAAATCTTCTCAGCATAACTTTATGTTAGAAAAATTAAATTTGAAAATGATATTATACTGTGCGAAGCAACAGATGAAACCGCCCAGGGATACAAATACAAAAATAATTTGAAACTCATCGAAGGAAAAATCCTGTCTAAATAATTTCATATTGAATAAATCGAATTCGATCATAATAACAATTTGTGAAAATCACAACCCGCCCGTCGAAAGGGGTCAAATACGAAAATAAATCGAATATCTTCGAAGGAAAAATCCTGTCCCAATAATTTCATGTCGGAAAGAAAAATCGAATTCGATCATAGAAACAATCTGTGAAAATCACAAGATGAGACCGCCCGTCGAAAGGGATCAAATGGGGTAATGAATATAAAAATAAATCGAATCTCTTTGAAAGAAAAATCTTATCACAATAATTTCACGTTGAAAAAATCTAATTCAATCATAAAAATAACCTTTGAAAATCACAAATTGAGACCGCTTGTCGAAAGGGGTCAAATGGGGTTATGAATATAAAAATAAATCGAAACTCATAGAAGGAAAACCCCTGTCAAAATAATTTCATGTTGAAAAAATCGAATTTAATCATAATAACAATCTGTGGAAATCACATGAGACCACCCGTCGAAAGGAGTCAAATAGGGTTATGAATACAAAAATAAATCGAATCTCTTTGAAAGAAAATTCCTGTCACAATAATTACACAATAACATATTGGAAAAATGAGTCTGTGAGATTCACAGGATGAGACCGCCCGTCGAAAGTGGTCAAATGGGGGTATGAATACGAGAATAAATCGAATATTTTCGAAGGAAAAATCCTGCCTCAATAAATTCATATTGGTAAAATAGAATTGAATCATAATAACAATCTGTGAAAATCACAAGATGAGACCGCCCGTCGAAAGTGGTCAAATGGGGATATGAATACAAAAATAAATCGAATCTCTTCGAAGGAAAAATCCTGTCACAATAATTTCATTTTGGAAAAATCAAATTCAATCATGATAACAATCTGTGAGAATCACAAGATGAGAACCCCCGTCGAAAGGGGTCAAATGGGGTTATAAGATAATTTCATGTTAGAATTATCGAATTTGATCATTGTATCCATCTGTGAAAATCACAAGATGAGAACCCCCGTCGAAAGGGGTCAAATGGGGTTATAAATACAAAAATAAATCGAAACTCATAAAAGGAAAAATCCTGTCAAAATAATTTCATGTTGAAAAAATCGAATTCGATCATAGTAACAATCTGTGGGTATCACAACATGACACCGCCCGTCGAAAGGAGTCAAATGGGGATATGAATACGAAAATAAATCGAATATCTTCGAAGGAAAAATCCTGTCAAAATAATTTCATATTGGAAAAATAGAATTCAATCATAATAACAATCTGTGAAAACCACAACATGAGACCTCCCGTCGAGAGGGGTCAAATGGGGTTGTGAATACAAAAATAGGTAAATCGAATCTCTTTGAGAAACAATCCTGTCACAATAATTACATATTGGAAAAAACGAGTCTGTGAGACTCACAAGATGAGACCGCCCGTCTAAAGGGCTCAAATGGAGGATGAATACAAAAATAAATCGAATCTCTTCGAAGGAAAACTCCTGTCAAAATAATTTCATGTTAGAAAAATCGAATTCGATCATTGTATCAATCTGTGGAAATCACAAGATGAGAACCCCCGTCGAAAGGGGTCAAATGGGGTTATGGATACAAAAATTAATCAAAACTCATAAAAAATCCTGTCAAAATAATTTCACGTTGAAAAAATCGAATTTGATCTTAATAATGATCTTTGAGAATCACCAGATGAGACCGTCCATCAGAAGGGGTCAAATGGGGTTATGAATACAAAAATAAATCGAAACTCATGAAAGAAAAATCCTGTCAAAATAATTTCACGTTGAAAAAATCGAGTTCGATCATAATACCAATTTGTGGAAATCACAACATGAGATCGCCCGCGCCCGTCAAAAAGGGTCAAATGGGGTTATGAATACCAAAATAAATCGAATTTCTTCGAAAAAAAAAACGTGTCAAAATAATTTCACGTTGAAAAAATCGAGTTTAATCTTAATAATGATCTTTGAGAATCACCAGATGAGACCGTCCATCGAAAGGGGTCAAATGGGGTTATGAATACAAAAATAAATCGAAACTCATGAAAGAAAAATCCTGTCAAAATAGTTTCACGTTGAAAAAATCGAGTTCGATCATAATAGCAATCTGTGGAAATCACAAAATGAGACCGCCCGCGCCCGTCAAAAGGGGTCAAATGGAGATATGAATACCAAAATAAATCTCCTGTCAAAAAATTAATTTCACTAGTTCGGACTTCCATTGTCTACTACATGAAATGATTTGAAATCCCTGAAACAACTAAAAAAAGAAGAATTTTTATTCAATTGTTCTATTTTTACTTGTATTTTATTTTACTATTATTTCATTTCAGGTTTATTTTGGTTAATATAATTGTTATTTTCAGCTATTCATTTCCAATTCTTCTTTTTTAGTTGTTTCAGGGATTTCAAATCATTTTATATAGTAGACAATGGAAGTCCGAACTAGTGAAATTCATCATGAAACATTGTCAATCATCTTCAAACAAACTGTCAAAAAATAATTTCACGTTGAAAAAATCGTATTCAATCATAATAACAATCTGTGGAAATCACAACATAGGACCGCCCGTCGAAAGGAGTCAAATGGGGTTATGAATATAAAAATAAATCGAAACTCATAAATGGAAAAATCCTGTCAAAATAATTTCATGTTGAAAAAATCGAATTCGATCATAGTAAAAATCTGTGGAAATCACAACATGAGACCGCCCGTCGAAAGGGTTTAAATGGGGATATGAATACGCAAATGAATTGAATATCGTCGATGAAAAAATCCTCAGAATAATTTCATATTGGAAAAATCGAATTCAATCATAATAGCAATCTGTGAAAATCACAAATTGAGACCCCCCGTCGAAAGGGGTCAAATGGGGTTATGAATACAAAAATAAATCGAATCTCTTTGAAAGAAAAATCCTGTCACAATTATTTCATGTTGGAAAAACTAAATTCGATTATAATAATAATCTGTGAGAATCACAAGATGAGACTGGTCATCGAAGGAGATGGAATAATATTGTATTGTAATTTTAGGTACAAGAAAAGAGGTATTTAGGAAAAAAATTTCAAATAAAAATTGTGGAGAAGAAAATTTCAAATAAGTTTCATTCTCAGAATGTTGTGTAGATCATGGGAATTGAGTGAGGTATGGGCACTTTTTCTTGTCCCATGAGATACGTATTCGAATGCATATTTTATTGGCTTTCTCCAACCTTTCTTTGATATTCCAGACTATTAAGGTTGCAAGTGATATTTGCGTCTCCAATCAGGCGGATGGCTCTTTTCTGTATGGAATCCAGCAACTTCAGGGTATGATTAGGGGCATAGCTGCATATATATGAACAATACTCCAAAAAAGCTCTGATCTGAGCTTTATAAAGCATCAAAAGTTGCTGAGGTGTTTACAGTTTTCTGGTTCGGAGCAGATTTCGAGAAGCAGCCTTTGCAATTCCAGCGACATGATTGGGCGAAGACATATTGGTTGAGAATCCTGTTTCGCACAAATATGTTGTTTAAAACAGGAAAAGAATATTCAGTGCCATTTCGGCAAGCATATGATATTCATCACTGATTCTGACCCAAAAATAGTTGAGTTGAAATAGTTGAACAATGACTCCATATTTGTGTCCGATGACATTTCTAAAAGAGATTCTTATACTTTTGGACTTCCGCAAGTTGGGTGAAAAAGGATTTTGTATCCATGAATTCAGTTTCATTTTTGTATTCTGTTCTTCGGGAAAATACTTCTCAAAAGATACGCGTATCGAAGTGAGATATTGGACCAATTGAATTTCATTAGTTCGGACTTCCATTGTCTAATATGATAGAAAATGGTATGAAATCCCTGAAAAAATCAATAAAATTAAAAATTAGCCGCGGTGGCAGTGCGCCCGACTCACGATCGGAAGGTCGTGGGTTCGATTCCTGCCTCGATTAGATATTTTTCTCGAGATAATTTATCTGGTTGAAGCTGGAATGATTCTGCAACCGTGTTAGGAATCACACGTTAAAAGGTAAGACCTCGTTACTCCTTAGCTCGCACAAGTTTCTCAACTTCTGAGAGTTGTCGTTCGTATGGGGGCGACAGCTGATAACGGAAAAACATATTTTTTTTTAACAGATATTTTTGCGAAGACAACAGGTACTGGCCAGCATTTTCAGGTGTTGTAACAGACTTTTCATTCGCTAATATACATGCAATTTGTAA